TGAAATGGCATGCACACATTTTCCAAGACTTCCATATGTGAGGGTTAACTCCTCTCCTAATCTTTGGACACTTTCAGCCACTTTCCGCTTCTACTGCCAGGCTGCTGCGCTGCAGCCCAATAAAATGTACTGAAGTGTCCGAGCCTGATCAGAAATCCTGAAAACGCTCAGTAAAGCAGCACAGCTGCTCACATCTGGAGCAGCGCAGTCAGAGGCTGATGTAACCCCCTCCACCTCTTTCATGAGGCCGTCCGGGGCTCAGCTGGAGCAGAGCGGCGCCAATAACAGCTGCCACGCTGCACAGGCCTGTTCAAGACACCCAATGAACTCATAAACACACATTAATAGATGCAAACTCGCTGCTCTCGTTCAGTTTGCAGCAATCGTGTCGTAATGTTTTATCTTTTGAGGGGAGTCGTTTCTTTTTCTGTGGTGTTTTAAACATTTTTTACTCAAATCCGTGTGATTCAGAACCTTGTAAATCAAGTTGTGCAGGAGACGAGTTCATGTTACGCTGCTCCTCAGAGAGGACGCAAAACGAGGAACTAAAGCATCGAGCAGGGAGCTAAACTAGAGTAATGTCGAGGCGTAACACAGTCGCTGCTCAGCAGGTGGGCGACACTTTGTGGAAGCAGCTGTGACGTACCTTTAAAAAAGACAAATTTGCCGTCGTGACGTTCGTACGCTGCGTCAATGTCGCTGGGCAGACCGTTCCAGAATACAGATATCGGCATGGGGTAATTATCGAGGACGCGGTTCCTCCGAACCCGCCAGAACCAACGACCCTGCAAAAGCAAAACAACGATGCACGTCTTAGTTACTTTCCCTTGCACGACTCAAACGCTGCAGCTGTGAGCCCTGTTTGTTTACCTTGAAGACAAACATCTCCCCCCTCAGCATGGTCACTGTATCGAAGTCTCCATCGCAGATGTCAGGGGGCTGGTTGTCTGGCAGCTTGGGAGGCCGAGGAGGAGGAGGGATGTCTCTCCGTGGAGTGACGGGTTCTGGCACGGGCGGGGATTGGGTGGTGGTGGAGGTAGAGAGGATGGGAGGCGAGGTGGGGCCGGGGCTTGGTTCGGGTTGGGCCGGAGGATCCGGGTCGGCGTCCGTCGGGACGCGCGGGGCATCGGCTGGAGAATAAGTGGTGGGCTCTTCTTCTGGGACAGAAGGGGAGGTGGGGGAGTCGACGCTGGGTTCATCGTCAGGGGCGAGCGGAGGAGTAGGCGAAGCATCTGTGATGAGGGGAGGACCTTGGGGGAAAAAGGAGGCAACAGGAAAGGCTCCAGTCTGTCTGTGTGGCATCAGACATCAATACTTTTATTCGCTTCCTTTCGACTAAACACTCTGCAGCAGAGCGAACGCAGTTTTCCATTTTGTGACTGAGTGTCACTCTGCTGCTGCTCGCTGGAAAAATCTGCTGGTTGCTAAGAGAGGAAAACACACAGATAGTCAGTTATGCAATAGGTATCAGCTGATGGGCTCCAAGACGTGTTGGTCACACTGGACCAAAGGCTTTGCTCGAACATATCGAGGCCAGTATGTGAAGAAATCCACCATCTGCAGCAACACAACAAAACCTCAGTGCTGCCAAACGAGAACTGAGGCCATCGCAGCACAAAGATACTGCCATTAGTTTTCTTCTTTTAAACTCGGCTGTTTTTCAGTGGAATAAAAACATTTACAAAGAGCCTAGTCGCCGTTATCCTCACAGGAAAACAGGACTCGCACTAGCAGGCGTGTCCAAGTCTCTGCACAAAGAAAGGAAAAAGCTGACTGCCCGCCGATCTTACAACATTTTTGGCTCCAAAGCAAAATACAAAATACATCCCAAACCCAAAGAT